AGAGTTTCAAGAGTAAAGTTATTAATATAGTGGATTCTATCAGTTGGTATCTCTCCCTGATTAAAAAAGTAGTGAGTTAAGTTTATGTTGATCCATCTGTTATCTGCCCGCTCCCAAAACCCATTGAGGTGTTTAAAATGAGGACTGCTATCTCATATCAGGAGATATTAGAAAATTAGTCCATGTACGTATTATCCTTAAGAAGGTTCAGATCATGCTTACTTTTGTTTCCTAGGACACAGAATGAAAGGAAAATTACTTAAAGTACTCAGAGTCTCTGAGGACTGTGCATATCTAAGAACTGAACCTGTCGTTATGCTGGGTATCTAATGGTTCAGTTATGCACAGCCTGCTACTTTTGCTGATTATTGTTGTCATCACTTGAGGACCATTAAGGTCTTTCCCTAACATAACAGTTCTGTGGTTTGATGACCCTATACGTGGCAAAGACAAGAATTTCCTGGATTTAACTTGTTTTATATGTTACATAAAAAATAACCTATTTCTTATAGAGAGATACATTAGGTCAGAAATACCAGAGTTAAAAACCTATAATGAGGATCATATCAGAAAACAGTATTAGAGCAATACAGATGTTTCTTTCCCCTGTACATATTTCTATGAGAGGATGTCCTGACTTTGGAGTAAAAGAATAGAATATGTAATTATGTAAAATATATTTCCAGTTTAACTGAAACTTCTCACCAAGTTAAAGTTTCAGTAATTTTATTCTGTTCAGGATTGCAGATTTCAGAAGGAATAAAGTCATTGGCACTTTTCAGTTTCTCTCTATCCCCTCCTAATTTGAGAGAAGTTTGTATCTCTAGCATAATTTTATTCCACATTATTAATGAGGATTCTGCCAAGATTAATCATTTCTTCAAAGGAGAGAATGCAGGGAGGTATTGCCATGCAAGAAAAGTGAGGTAGAAGAACGAAACTTAGAATGGTTGTTACTGCTTTCTCAGTGGAGGGAAAGTCCATTCTGATCATACTCCATACATCAGATGGCAAAACAGAAGCAGGACATCATATGTCACATTGTGGGTAACACTAAAAGCTCCTGAATTACAGAACCATATATTAAAAACCACAAAACAATTTGGGAATAAAATACAAAAAGAATATTTTGACTCTAACATCTTTAACTTCGTTATTTTTATTTAGAGAGTTATAGTATTGTATGAGAGTTGGTACAATGATTTTAAAAACTGGATGCTTGCTGTCTGTTGCTGTTAGACTCGGGTATAAGTTACGATTTTAATTATGTACCTTTTATGCTTACACACTGATGCAAACACACAATCTTAAAGACAAATATGCAATCCACAGGGGTTTCCCTAGGTGTTTAGAGGTGATGCAGGTATGTTTGAAGCCAAAGGAAGTAATTTGGACCTTAAAAGAGCGTGAGTTGAAAAGTATCAAACTTTTGGTTTTTATTCTAGTCTGAGTAGTGAAGCAATTACATGTAGTTAAATATTTGAAAATACAATCATCACTTTAAAATTTTACCATCGTACTACACGTTCACTTGTCTTTCCTGTTTTTACTGAAAGCGTGATTGACATTTCTGGTGATGGTGATCTGGAGAGCCTGAAGAAGGGCAGGATGTGGGCAATTCTTTTTTTTTTTTTTTT